CCCTCTTCGTCCCCAAAAGCACCATATGTAGTTGTGGAGAGAAGAGCCGCGTCAGCAGCAGTGCCCGTTCTCCTCTGCGCCTCCCAGCAGAGGGGTCAGAGCCCGTCTCCTCCTCCGGGGCCGCGGGGAGGGTCTCTCGCAGGCTGCAGGAATCCCCCTGCGCCCAAGAGTTCTTGCGGAGAGCAGCGACAAGGGTTGAGGAAGGGAAGACGCGCACATTTCCATGGTTTTTCTTGGCTCTGTTCGTGACAGATGCTCTCTCATACAAATTCAAAAACTCATTTTGTACAAAAAGAATCATCTGCTTTAACAGCTGCACAGGGAATCCAGCTGTGCTCTTAAACCCAAGTTACCAACTACGCAGTTTTACAGAGGGCCATATAAAGGTAATGTCTCAGCCTTACTGAAGGCACAGCGTTTTAAGTTAAACATAAAAATACCACCGGTAAGCTATAAAATAAAGCTTGTAGCCATTGCTTTATTTATTAATCCCAACAGCAACTTGAAACCAGGGGTGAGGAACGGGCAGGGTATGCCAGTCACCTTCCAGGAAAAGCCGCTGGGGCCATCTCTGCAAAATACCAGTTGGAGCATCTGTCCTGCAAGCTCAGTTTCACCCTCCTGTTGCGGTCCAAGACACTGGCCGTGAACCGCGAGGCACGGCAGGACCTCACCGAGGAAGCGTAAAGCCCAGGTTGGTGCCAGCTCCGAGGAAGGACAGCCAGGGCTGGACTAGAGGCCGAAGAAGCTGCGGGTACCCAGAGCCAGAGAAGACGGGAGCGCTCTGCAGCAGGAGGATGTTTCCAGAGCCCAGCGGCTCTTGCAAAAGAACGGTATTGTTGGGAAACACTTCCACAGAGGAGTCGTGACTGCTGCTGCACATCACACTGTTGTACGGGACCAAACACAACGGGGGCCTTTATCCTGTTTATGGTCTTTACCAAAATCCTACAAATAATCAGATGTGGATTAGCCCTTTGGGGAAACGGGGAGATGAAAGATCGCTGGCGCTCGTTAGCTCACAGCCAGCAGAACGCCACCTCCAGTGGCTCCGTGTGTCAGGAGAAAAGGGAAGGTTATTTCGGTGACTCAGACTTCAGTACTCAAAGGAATCTCTACCCCTCAGAAATTTCAGCGAGTCCTGTATCACCCCCGGAATGTCTGGCTAATTAGAGCATCCTTGAGAGACACATCCGATGCCGATGGCTATTTTGGAATCTCAAATTAGCTTTTGCAGACTCTAGGCTAAAATCTGAACATAGTAATGCTATGAGAGGGAGGAAGATGTTTGACGCGGGGCATGTTTTCAAAATACTTTTGGCATATACAGTTATTTTCAATATATTAGGGTTTACATTCCTCCATTAACATGAAAATCTTTCACATAACCGTGCAACAAATGCAATGCACAAGCAAGCTGCGTTACTCCAAAGGCAGTGTCACAAGATCCACTTCTACTGGTAAAAAACTGCATCATAATAGATGATCTCTATCAAATCTTTTCCGCTTGATATAAAAGCTGTGCCTATTAAGAAAGAAATGGGAAAGATCGCTACAACACCATATAAATTGATGTTCCAATTACATTGTAAATGAAGATGCATTCGATAAACAGACCACAAATCCAACACGTTATGATTTCCCCTAGCAGAAAACTACGCATCCAATTTTCAAGTTAAAGTCAAAGAATTGAGGGTAATCTCTCACTCTCTTGCAGCATTTCCACGTATTACCGCTTTCTCGTTCCTAATTCTCCTCTAAGATAAGAGAAGCTCGTTTGGTAGCTTTACAATTCCATATAAAATAAGACTTATGTCCTTCTATGTCCTATGCCCAGGGCTTTTCACCGTTGTCTTTTGAAGCCGTTAGACTTCTTCAGCGTTCCGAGGGTTTATTTCTTTGTTCTTTTATTTATGGAGCTCCGACTTTCAGCGATCTCGAGATTCGAGAGAAAGCGATTAGCTGTCCCCAAAGGAAACGCTTACGGCTGCTGCCTTTGGGCCTGGGGGGAGACGTGTCCTTGCTGTGTAAGCAGGTCACTCCACCCATGCGTGATTATCTCCCCAACCGAGGTACCGCTCGGTTTGCAAGCGCTCGCCTGCATTTATTAAGGTATTTATAGGAAAACAAGCAAGGCAGCGGGGCCGGAGCAGCCGCCAGAGGGAGTTCTGCCACTGTGGGTGCTGATCAGCACCAGCACCCAAAGGTGCTGGGGGTCCGTCAGCCCTCCCCGAGGGCTCAGGGTGCTCAGCAGGCATGCAGCCCCGCACGGCTCCGCGCTAAACACCCCCCAGGCAGGCGGGCAGGACCACTGCCCGAACCGTCTCTGGCAATGCCATCAGATTAAAAAAAAAAAAAAAAAAAGCCATAAAAAGAACAGCCAGATCACATTTCAGAGCCCATCGACTCGGGGGGGTGGAAGGGGTAGAACCCATGTGGTCTAAAATCCGCAGTCTATAATTTTAACGCATTACCGACTCCTATAGGAATTCCTATCGAGCCGTTCCTCGGGCTGCTCTGTTTCCGGAGCATGGGGTAACGACAACTTCAACGCTACCCCGTGGCTGAGAGCTCTCTGCTGAAGACCAGCATCTGTCGGGTACCACGGGACAGATCTCACATTTCCCTCTCTTTTCAAATCCACTTAATCCTCCTTCTCCGCGGGGTCTCGGTGGGAGAGCTCTACGCAGGTACGCACCGGAGCCTCCTCCACACCGTGACCTCTGCAGGAGCGTCAGCCACGGAACCGGCCTTTCGCAAGGGTAATTTATTTGTGGGTATGTAAAGAACGGCTTCAATTTAGCAGCTCAGATGGTGCCGCCCCCCCCTCCCACAGAGAACATGTCAGCAGCTTGCAAAAATAAACAAACTTACCCACCGCGCGTTGCCCCTGCTCATCTTCACCCAAGTGATTCACAGCGACGTACTCTCGACTCCTGCAAATTGAAGACATTCGTGAGTCTCCCTAACGCAAGCCCAGATCAAAAGAAAAAAAAAAACAAAAAAAGAAAAGCTCCATCCCTGCAGAGAGGGTTGAATCTGGAAGGGGAGGTGACACCGCCAGCGTCACCTGCCCCGCAGCAGGGTGACCCTGGGGAGGCGGCAGCAGCGATGAGCAAACCTTGCATCAGCCGGGAAGGGGAGATACGGAGCCCTTCCCAGTCCTCACCCTGCGGGGTGCCCCCGGAGGGGGTGTGTGTGTGTGCGTGTCGGGGGGGGAAACGGGGGTGGCTTTAGAGCGGGGTCACCCCAGCGCGATGACAGCCGCCCTGCAGGAGGAAGGAAAAGGAAATTTCTCGCTTCCCCTCCCACAGAGAACATGTCAGCAGCTTGCAAAAATAAACAAACTTACCCACCGCGCGTTGCCCCTGCTCATCTTCACCCAAGTGATTCACAGCGACGTACTCTCGACTCCTGCAAATTGAAGACATTCGTGAGTCTCCCTAACGCAAGCCCAGATCAAAAGAAAAAGAAAAACAAAAAAAGAAAAAAAAAAAAAAAAAAAAAAAAAAAGAAAAGAGTCCTGCATGCAATTACACAGGAAGGAAAACATGCAACTTAAGCTGAGCTTTGAACATTTCACAGTAAATATCAATACTGGGGTCTGAAACGGGCCATCATTTTACATTTTTAAATAACTGAGCAGAATTTTCTTTTTTTTTTTTTTTGGCAGTAGCAGGACTATCTATATTCGTTGTCATTTTACATCTTCTGATATTTAAGCTTGCCGATTCCTTTTTTGCCCACATTACATTACGGTGCATTTTCAAAGGGCACAGTATTAAAGTTATCGCTAATTTATGCAGAAGCACGTGGTTTTTTTTAAATGTTTATTTTAAACATTTTTTTTTTTTTTTCAAATTTTTACATTAAAATTAACACTCGAAGACTTGTTTCAATAAAGTTTATGCAAGTTGCCGTCACAGTTTATGTAAAAGAGAAATGTGCTATTAAAATCAGACATTTAGGTTACCTTTTGGGTTTTGCGATGCATGTTAGCTTTACACATCCTGATTCTCCTGCGATAATTTTCCTTTAAAAGGGGGGCATAGGGTGATCTTTTCATCAAGCAAGACATTATGCCCTGAAAGCTGACTCCAAACCATCGTTGAAAATTCAGTTATTTACACTTTAATAACAATCTACAAATACAACTTTTTGTTTTAAAGTATTCCCCTCAATCATGCACTGCTACGCGCAGTTTGGTTCCTAATCCTCTATTTTTCACCCCCGAGCAGTTTAATTCTCTCCCCCTAGAATGCCAGATTCATTTGGCAGATGGGAAATACAAACCATTTTTCATATCTCTAAGAAGCAGTTTAATTTAAACTATTATATTATATATATATACACACATATATACACACCCTCTCAGAAGGATATGAGGAGCAACTGCAGCACCCTTCTCAAACAAAGATACATTTTTAAGCGGCTTTCCAAGTAAAAACTACGGTAAAGTAGGAAAGGCATCATCTTAGCCAAGGGGGTTAGGGGCGTTTACATAAAGCAGAAAGCAAGTTTCCTTTTCCTCCCGGTGGCAGCTTAAGCCTCGGAGTTTTTTAGCGTTCGTTTTGTCACGCTACATTTAAACCAGCCATTTCAGACTCAATCTGGAGTCCGCAGCCTGGAACACTCTGGGAGGCCACCTGAAATCTGAATCGGTAATTCAGCAAAGAACCATAAACGCTTTCCAGCAAACAGAAGTCAGATTTCTGCCATCGTCCAGGATCAAACTGCTTTCAACAACTTCCAGGGGGTGAAAAACAATTTTTCTTTTTTCCTTTTTTTTTTATTAAAAAAATACAAATAAAAATAAAAATTAAGCTCCTTCAACGAGCTTCATCAACTTTTGGTGAGAATTACAAAAAACACCATTTTTAGAATGTCTCCATGTTTTAAAAAGACAATTAGCTTTAGCATTAATTTAAATCTATTTGGAAAAAAATAGCTATTTTATTGCTCAACAAAAAAAAAATGACAATTCATCACATTTACTTTGATTAAAAAAGGACTAAACTTTATTGACAAACTGCGGCAGACATTTTGACAAGTTTTAGCTACCTATTTAGGCAGACTTACACATGTAGCATTTAATCTTCAAGAACAGAGTGGGAGGACAGTGTACAAATCCAATTAGGACTTTATCCTATGTACAAAGTGAAATTTTTCCTCATTTTTTCAGCTGCAGTGTCCCTTTTTATGCAAAGCTAGTGTTGAGATACACTTGAACAAGTCAATGGGAGTGCTAATATTGACAATTGCGTCAGTTTTAAACTTCCACTGTATTATCCGCCCCAATCACTATAAAAATGAGAAGACTGGAATTTTTACAGAGTTCAGACCTGCTCACGTAATACTCTGTTTTCTAATATCAAACACTGGGCAATTAGAGCCATGCTTTAATGTGTTTTTCCCTTAAAAGTTCTTCATACAGAACCAAACTAAGAACCCCTTTACACTGGAAAAATCTGCTTCCCAAGCATCTCTCAACACCGCATGTTCGGGGCTAGATTTCAAAACCCACATAAGAAAAAGTCAATTTTATAAACCTAATTTTTTTTTTTTTCTTTTAAGTCAATTACCTTTAAAAAAATGCTATTTAATTTGTTTGAGGATCCTTCGTATTAAAATTTAAACTTAAGATTCACCAGCAATCTGCTTTTAAGGAAAGTTTTTGACGTCTGAGGTTACTTTTAAACGGTGGCAGCTACTACCGTTACATTATGATTTTAATTCTTAAAAACAGCCCTGAATTTTGAAATGTAGCCTACTTTGGGATTCTGCAACTACAACTTTTATGGGTTCCTTAAAACCAAACTTAAAAGGTTAACAAAACCTTAATTTCATAACTGCTAAGCAAAGCATGTCACTTTTGAAACTAACATTTTTAACTCAACTTTTTTTTTTTTATTAAAAAAAAGGTACAGTTGTGTTTACCTAAACAACAAAGAAAGAAAAGCCATCTAAACACACTTAAAAAAAAAAAAAAATTAAAGTCGGTCCTCTAAATCTATTTAACTCATTTTAAAATACTACGTACAGAAGCCAGAATGCAGGGTGAGGATGGAGTGGGAGAAAAAGGGCCACGAAGAAAAACAGTTAGACAATTACTTGTCTGGTGTGGGTAAAGCAACGGGAATCCCGGGAGATACAAGAATCAGTAACAACTGTTTGCTCATAACTGATATTTTTCCCTCATGTTTGTTTTTTAATAACGTCCGTATGGGTGCTCTCTGTAGGCCCCCTTCACTGGCCTGGCCGGAGGGGCCTTCAGGGAGGGACGGGTTCCGTTCCAGTCATCTTGCCCTGCGGAAAAGAGAGGGATACGTCAAGGATGGAGGAGCACTGCGAGCCGAGGGGCACGGAGGGAGCGGCGGTACCGGCCGGCCGGGATCACCTCCGGAGCCACCGTGGAAGCACGAGGCATCTTCACAGCGGTTTCACTCCAAAACCGCTCTGCGGAACGCCCGCGGTCCACCAAAACCTCTCGTTTGCAGCACGTCTTCTGACTTTATGGGAAAAAGCCACTTGCGCGGGGATCCCCGGGAAGGCTGCCGCTCCGACAGCCCGGCTAAGCGCCGACTTGGTCAAACCCGGTGCCTTTTAGGAGTAATTAATTTCAGCAGAGCCGAAGCCAATTCCCGAGGCAGCTCTGGCCGCCAGCAGTGGCCAAGGCGGG